AACATCTAAAAACTAAGCCTTGTGANTCCAAGACTAAAGATTGTGAGGAAGAGTTGCAGAAACCAAGCAAACCTAAACAGAGTAGCACAAGTCTATAAGGTGTCTACGAGGGAAGCTATCAAAACATCTAAAAACTAAGCCTTGTGAACCAGAAGTACGAAACAAGATAGAACCTACGACCAGAATAAGGAGTAAAACAAGCTTAAGCTAACCCAATGCATCCAACTATATAATAAAATATCAGTGTTTCTCTATACAGAATCTAAGACAATGCATCCGAAAATATAATGAACAATCAATGTTTCTCTAAACAGAATCTGAAACCTAAAATAAAACAATACACAAATCCAATTTTTAATAGATTTTTCTATGTAGACTGTATATTCAGTCTAAATTAATGTAGACATATAAGACAGTCTACTAATCCGTAGTCTGCAGTAAAAGTCTACAAATACGTAGTCTGCAGTAAAATTCTGGGAGCAACCTGCAACAAAAAGAGCCAGAGAAATCAATAAAACACAACACATGCTTGTACACTACAAACATGTATTAACTCATAACACTTCATCAATTTTCGTCAACGACATATGGATTTCAATTTCCAGCAAATAAATTAAACATATACAAACCCTAGAACGAAAATTGAACACTTTAATCAAAACAATAAGAGATGCAGAGACTCTTTATAAACACATATATAGAGAGAGAGAGACAGGGAGGAGAGTAATGGTGATGACGAGGAGGAGATGAGGAGGAGACAAGGCGGAAAGTAATGGTGGAGATGAGGAGGAGACGAGGCGGAGAGTAATGGTGGTGACGAGGAGGAGATGAGGAGGAGACAAGGTGGAGATGGCTGAAGGATGGGAGAGGATAGTGGTGATGGTCGTGGTGGTGAATGGTGATTCCGAGAGGAAGGTGGCTGGGTGTGAAAACGGAGTCGAAGAGGGTTCGCCGGAAATCTCACCGGAAATCGCCCCTAAAACCGCCTAAATGGCGTGATTAGGATTCTTTTTACCAGAAAACCCTGAAAAAGTATTTATATGCTGTGTAATTTTTTCGGTTAGGTTAAATTGGTTAATGTAGACTGAAATAGACGTTTACATATAAGTAGACTTTACTGTAACTCTACTATACCCTAAATATTGGCGCCAATATGGAAAAATAGGCTCCAAAATTCATTTTCACTTCCCGCTTAGTTAATTTTAATTTTAAAATAATTTATTTTGGTAAACACAAATTAACGTAGACTGAAATAGACGTCTACATATAAGTAGACTTTACTGTAAATCTACTATACCCTAAATATTGGCGCCAATATGGAAAAATAGGCTCCAAAATTCATTTTCACTTATCGCTTAGTTAATTTTAATTTTAAAATAATTTATTTTGGTAAAAAAAAATTAACGTAGACTGAAATAGACGTCTACATATAAGTAGACTTAACTGTAAGTCTACTATACCCTAAACCAGAAATCTCAAACCCTAAACCCCAAATCTCAAACCCTAAACGTTTGATTGATTATAAAAAAAATCTTAGTCATTGTACCAAATATCATATATACAAAATATAAACTACTCAACATTAAATATGCAATT